GTCTTGCACTGAGTTTTGACAGCTCTGTTCACACCTGAGATTTCATCTCTTGGAGTTATCGGCAAAGTGTTAGCGGACAAATCTCTCATGGAAGAGTGTTGTTTCTCTCTGTAAAAATGACAAGAACGCTGCATGTTGACCTGCTGGGAGAAATGTTTGACTCAGTGATGTTGATCTGTTTATCTGTGCAGCACAGTGACTGAAGAAGGTCAAAGCGCACAGATTCTCTCATTATCGCTAGCAGAATCTCAAACATAAGATTCCATGAACTTCTCCTTAGATAATAAAGACATGCTCCATGTAGTTAGTGTAACAAACTTAGTAGGAATTTCATACGCACTTGTATAGTAGCCTGGAGATCTTCACGTGTACACAATTGTAATCGCAAACATCTGGATTTAATATAAAAAAATGATCATAGACAAAAGGAAAAAAGTGACATTACATATCAGTGGTTCAAAGGCGAATCCCTGATTTCCAGAACTGAGTACTATAAATCGGCATTTCTCAAACTTTTTAGTCTAACACCCCACAGCTATAGGTAGTGTGCATGTACAAGTGACGTGCCACTGTTATGAGATATGGCTAACTGGTTAAGGGTGCATTTGGATGGACAGTTGGCACACAACCCCTAAATATTTGAGTTCTTTTTCTCCCCCGTTAACCATGGAGGGTGAGGGCTGACATGTGCTTCCTACTATACACATGAAGCCAGCCAAACGCGTCTTTTCAAACTGCTGCTCATGCTGCTTCACAGGATGGAGTAACACACTTGGAGGAAAGCGCTGTCCATCCCGTTCCGCATCCATGAGCTCATAGACGGCCATGATTGGCTAGTGAAGCTGTGATTGACGGGGAGAGAGAGTTATCATCCCTCCCACCCAAAAAGCACAGCCAAGTTTGTTCTCTTGGACTCCTGGCCAAGGATGGCTAAATATTGGCGCTCTAATGATGAAATGAGCTGTAATAAGTAACTTGAGAAAATAGTATTTTCATGCCGGCTGATAAACTTACCACATAAAAGGAATATAATATTCATATTATATGAGACATACCAAAATTAAAGGACAACCGGAGAGAAAGGATGAAGGAGGTGTTGGACTACCACGAGCTCCCAGAACAGCTTCAGTATATCTTGGCATCGATTCTATATGTCTCTGGAACTGTACTGGAGGGATGCACAGTGTTGTTCCAAAGGAAAATCATCTCAGTTGGTGTTTTGATGGTGGTGGTATGGAGGGCTGTCTAACAAATCAGTCCAAAATCTGCCATAGGTGCTCTTCATCCTGGAACCGACCACTCCCATCAAGATAGAAATGCTTCATCATAGGATAAAGTGGATCAGTCAGAATAACTCTGTTTATTTTGTAGTGACCGTTCCTATAAGGAGACAAGTGGCCCCAAGCCATGCCAGCAATATAAATTCAACCATATGCTATTCATATGCAGCAATAGTGTGTGTGTGTTTTATATGCTTGAATGATATGCTGTAATCTGGCATGCATATGCTAACATATGTGGATATGTTTCTCAGTTCTTAGGCTGTGTGGAGGCTTTGCCTGCTCTTTGTGTGGATGCCCTTGCACTCCCACTCTCTCTGACTAACATGTGTTAAGCCATTAATTTGCCTGTTACGTATGCATTTATTCATATTGAAATGTTTGACTGAAATCCAGATTAGCATCCAAAAAGAGGTTGTGTGTTTTCTGCACAGCCCTCAGTGTGTTTCATTATTGTGCCAGAATGGACACTTCATTTTCATGAAGACTTGTACATGCCTACTGTTTGAATAATGAATTCTCGGAGGCTTTCAGTGCATCACGGTAGAAGTGAAGTACATGGCTTCTTAGAGCCATTTTCATTTTCTTCATCCTCTTTTTTCCTCTATCTGGCTGTAAGAGTTTGTACAGGTGATATTTGTTCTCATACACTTTTAAGTATTCACTTTCTCCTAGAGAATGTAATTTAAAAAGAAAATAAAAAAAAGAAAAAAGAAAGACTAATATGATATATGAATGATAAGGTGGCAGACATTCAAATAAACATCTAATAGGAGTCTAGTATACTGCTAATTTATGTTGCGTGAATAGTCCTGGTTGTAATTATCACGTTAGTAACTGTAAATTTGGTTTAATTTAACAACATGGCTGCCACCCTTATTATTCTGCAGCTTATAAAATAGCCCTTGATCCAACAAAACTTTACTTGAAGTACAGCAACTAAAAACATGAACCTTAGGCAGGGGTGGGGGAAAAAAGGCCATATCTACTGCTGAGAATTGTAGCAAGTGACTGAATAAGCTATGGAAAATATTTATTAAATATGTATGACTGTGTGCTGACGGTTAGCATAGCTGTGCACACAAGCTAATGAGGACATGAGAGACTAAATCCAGGTCAAGAAATCATCATTTGTGTGTGCAGAGTAAGCTGTTTTATCACGCTTTTAATTCACTAATTTGTCAAGTCGTTTTGGTGAATTTTGGTTAATGTGCTCTCCCGTTAAAAAAAAACAAAAAAACAAAACAGCGCCACGGTAAACTGATAAACTGACACAGCTCACTTCAAGTAAGCGTTGTTCATGATTTAATTTGTATAAAAATAGTTCCTGGAGATCTTCAAGTATTCAGTCCTCAGGCAAGGTGTTAAGCACAAGGTGTGTTTTTTTGGCCTGTGCGTGAAACTCTCGCACAACTGTTTGAGTAGCATGTAAGTCCGTGGTTACGTCTGAGGTCGGAATAACAATGTGTGCAACTTTGAATACGGCTCTTAGTGATGAATGCCTGATTTTGACTTCAGCCTGTGTGGTATGCATGGCTGTATCTCAAATTGCATTCTATTGTACTATTCTAGACTGCTTATGAGTAAACATAACTGTCTACTCTGTTCATACAGAGTAATGCAAACAAATAGACTATAGCAAATATACTGTAACAAATGATGGGCTATATTTGATGAGAAGACTTTTCACACTAATCTGCATCGGAAAACAGAAGGGGGAGGAGCTTGTAGCAGACACAGGACAAAATCAACAAGGCTATTACTGACAATAGTAGAGTTCACTAAAATTGCCAAAATTATTTGGTACCAATATTCTCAAGGCTTTGGCAACGTATATAACATGACACCAAAGTTTAGGATATAAATTTCCATTGTATGAAATTCTAAAAAAAAAAAATCTAAATTATATTTTTGATTTTTATACAGTCACCTGACACATTATTCTATCGGTGTTGAAATAAAATACCACATATCTATTTGAAATTAGGCCATTTTATTGACTTAGATATGAAAAAGCAGGCAAAAGTAGACTAAGCATTTTAATGCATTTTAATCCCCTAAAAATAAACATTAGTGTTGACAGATTAATGAAGACTGATTTAATTTTGTATTGTGTAATCCAGAACTACTGAATTACTCTTTATGCCACTCTTCATAGTGCACCATTACACCCTACTATATCACTCCATGTGTATCTTTCTGCCTTGAGACTTGTAAAGGCAATTACACAGAGATGGAATATTCATTCGGTCCCAGGATGCAGGATTCTACATCACCTCACACCTTCAACAGGGAATGAAGGAGACATTGGCTTTACACTGCCCTTCAGGCTCTAATGACACATGGACATAAAAGAGAGGCAGGGACACGTCAGGTGCATACAGCCCCTCAGCCCTCTGGGTAACTCTGCAGGGAAATCAACAGTTTGATATGCAGGAGCTGGCTAAAAAAAAAAAAAAAACGCATGGTGGTAATGAAAAAATGCAAAGCCGTGGCATTTCGAGACGTCGCGTGATATATGGTTGCTGCGCTGTCGGGCTTTGAGTGAGGAAGCAGCTTCCTTTTATGGTTGCTTTGACAGAAAGCTGTTCAGGGATTTCCTTCATTGATCTGGCCTTGTTTGTGTTTATGTATGTTCTCTGACATTTACCATGCTTTTTTGAAAAGTGCGCCGGCGTATTCATTTTACGCATGATGGAGACAATTTTCATTTCAGATGAAAGTGCTGAGAGAGGCTCTTTATTGCCACTGAGCATTCTTTTGATGAAACTCCTTTATAATTTTTTTCCCTTTCATCTCCTCTCTTTTGTCTTAGGCTTGGTGAAGTTGGGGGTTCACTGTGTCACATGTCAGAAAGTCGCCGTAAAGATCGTGAACCGGGAAAAACTTAGCGAATCAGTATTGATGAAGGTAAGGTCATTTTATGTGTTTGGTTTATGTACATGCCTCTGTTTTTTTTAAATGCCTTTTCTGAATAGATTTACTTGATAGTCATTCAGTAACCCTTCAAACAAGCACGAACAATAACAAACCAAAGGTCTGTTTTCTTTTGTGTCTTCATGATTCATAATTCTTACAACTTTTCAGAGTGACATTGTGGCATAATTAATCATAATCATAATCGGGTGGTAGTTTGAAAACATAGTCTGAATTTGAAGTCATAGCCTATATGACTTCAAATTCAAATTCAGGTTCATATTTGTTATGCACTGTACATTTATATTTGACCCATCCAGTAGGCATTCTCACACAGTCGCTCACGGAGCCTGTATTTCTGAAGTATTTTTTGAGTAAAAATACATGCAGACTTGATACCACTCACAAAAAACCCCCAGAAACATCCAAGATGATTTACTAACAGGTTTCATGGAGGATGGCACTGAATTTGCCATGGCTATCGAGAACATTTCCTCCCTCCGCTTTGTTAGAAAAGTCATTTACGCAATTATTCTTTCTAAATCATCTGTAACACACCCATTAACTGCACAAGCAATTTATCAGATTACACCCGCAAATTAGTACTCGTTATCTGGGATCTTAATAAAACAGGGCCTTAGGATGCTTTCACACATATTAGACCCATTTATGCCCATTTATTTATTATTTTAGTCGGGCAGTGGTAGCTCAGTGATTAAGGCATTGGGCTACTGATCAGAAGCTCATGGCACTCTTGGGCCCTTGAGCAAGGCCCTTAAGCCTTAAAAACTGCTTGTCTTTCGGGGCAGTCTTGGCCTAATGGTTAGAGAGTTGGACTTGTAAGCTGAATCTGAAGGTTGTGGGTTTGAGTCTCAGGTCTGGCAGGAATTGTAGTTGGGGGGAGTGAATGACCAGCACTCTGTTCCACCCTCAATACCATGACTGAGGTGAGACCATTGGGCAAGGTACTGAACCGGGTACTGAACCGGGTACTGAACCGGGTGCTGCACCGGGGGTGTGTGTGTGTAAATGCAGAGCACAAATTCCAAGTATGGGTCACTGTTCTTGGCTACATGTCCCTTCACTTTATTGGGTGTTTGGTGTGGTTTCACAGTGTATATAACTAAAAGAACCAAAATAAAAAAAAAAAATTGGTTGAGAGGCTAAATATGTACTCGTAAGAACTCTGTCAGTCATTGGTCAGAAGTACGAGGACGAAATAAGGTAAGCAAAGCTTTGCCAAGTGTGTGTAGACATCACAAAAATGACTTTATGAAGGATTTCATGTATCTTATCCAATACTTACTATCTATTATTTTTTGTTGGTGCAAACATCTGGAACACATCATATTCCAGCAGTGCTACAGCTTTGTCCTTTTTTTTGGACTTTTTATTTTGGTCTGCGCCCGAATGCGATGTCTGTGTTCTCACCCGGGGGACAAGGCAGCAGGGTTTAATTTTAATAGACTAAACACTGCATATGTGAAACACTGCATATGTGAAAGCAACCATAGAGGTTGTTACATATGCAGTAAATTACACTGACAGGGTCTTTCCCCTCAGTTTCATAGCATAACCTCTTATTAATGATGATGATGATGATTATTATTATTAGTAGTAGTAGTAGTAGTAGTGTTGTTACTGGTATTGTCATTAGTGGTGTTTCTCACTGCAGGCTCCTGGGTTGTTTGAGCTGCACTGAGGCCAAATGTAATCTTCGTGGTGCTAGACAGCTGTCTGGGGATTCTTTGGTCCACATAAAGTGATTAGCATGGATGCTCTAACCCCAAAATATAATTTTTTTTTTTTTACTGCGGCTCCATCTTCCACAGCAGCTTGTGGTCAGACAGCCAACATAAAATCCCACAGGCCTGAGGATTTGACGTTGGTTGTTCAAAGTTCAGCCGAGGTTAGCCACAAACTTGTGTTGTCATCCTCAGTTTAGAATGAGGCATTCCAGTGCAGTATGAATGGAACGTGACAGCTTTCACTCTGACCAGCGATGTGAACAGTGACTGCTGATGAGCGTTGCACCGTGCTGCATCACTCTGTGCCTCTTGTCCTTTTGATGAAAGTCAATGCCTATAAAAAGAACCTTTCTTACTTCTGCAAACACACCCACTGCACCACGCAGCCCCATAAACACATGCGCCATTCATATCCACATCCATGTGTTTGAACTAATTGATCACTTTTAGAAAACCATGCCTGGGGTCTGATGGGAAATGAACGGTCCATAATCTGATTAAGGGTAATTGCCTTTGATAGGGTGCAGTCGCCATACCTAGGAACAACCAGATGTGACTGATTTGAATTTAATTGATGTAAAAGTGGATGCAATTTCATGCAGCCCCCGAGCCTTGCTCCGTTACACGCTTTGTTCCAAGTGACACGTTCATGCACATGTGTTGTATGAGCAATAACAGTTTCTCCTCATATGAGTGGCTGTCTCATTGAGTGAACATCTATTACCCCTGAAAGCCCAAGACAGTGCAATGCTGTTTGTGAGCTACCGTCAGAAAACAAGCACATCATTATAGACAATCTTATTAGACTGGAAAAATCAACAGGACAAAACCTCAGAGATTTGATGCCATCTTTATCTTTGCTGCGTAATAATTTCTGTTGATAAAACTGCAGATCTTTAGATTTCTTCCCTGTGACAACTTCACACAGCCTACTGTTTACTACAAGGTCCTTGTGCAGGCAGCACTGTGATTTCTCCCCCTCACTGCCTCTCTGATATAGACGACCAGCGATGCTCTTCTGAAAAGGTCTGCTAAATCAGCGAAACAAGCGATTTGCTCCCAATTACTGGCTTTCGCCGTTTCTGCTGATGCCCTTTTTTATGCTAACAAAAGGTGAAGTTTCAAATGGAAAGAATACCTCAAAGTTTTGACCCACTTATTATTATGTGCCATTTCTAACCCTCCTCCTATTGGCTTCATTATATGGTTAATGGCTCATTAACTCCTGGAGGACCATAGGCCGATCGGGATGTAGATGGAGTTGATTGGCTGAAGGCTGTAATTGTATGACTGGAGTCCCTGGGCTCTCTTCCCCAGCTGCTCTCACTATTCTTGGTAGGAGGTAAAGCTACACCTGCCATCTTAGGAGACATTGCTTATTTAATTCATTACTGTAAGGTGTTGTATGATTACACAAGGGAGCTCTAATCTGCAGCACTGGGATTTTAGTGGAGACCATGTTTTTTTTAGATGTACCCAGTGGTGAGCCCTGCATTTCAGGTCATACTCTTGAGAAATAAGGGTTCCTAATAAAGATTCTTTGGATAGTTAAGGGTTGGGGCTTGTATTTATAACCTTCTGATAGGGAAATAGTCTGTTGTAGGGTTCTATATTATATCGTTAATGGTTTTCATCAGCTTGACAAACCAAAGAACCCTTTAGAGTACTAGATTTAACCTTTTTTTTTTAAGAGTGGTGGCTTGTCACGTATTCTTTTCTGCTAGGAAAATATTTTAAATTGAATAGATCACAGTGTGGACAATATATGTATATTAGGAAATCACTGTGAGTCAGTAGGCCACAGCCTATCAGCACTACAATCAGGATAGTCAACACCTGTAATAGGTGCCTAACCCAAAGAAAATGTGGAACACCAAGTAAAAAAGCAATATAACTTACCAGTGGCTCTATGTCAACAATGACATTTCCAATTATCTTCATTTACCCTTCATAAACAGCACATCCGTGGGGAAATCTGGTCCTCGTATTTTGAAAGATTTAATTTTTGTTTTATAGGACACATACTAACAGGGCTGAATTTGTTGACTTGATTTCAGAAGCTCATGGATGACACATAAGTGGCATTGGCTGGACATAAAATGTATAATTACATAAATCAAGGGAGGTAATGGTTAGGCTACAGATGGCACTGGCAGTCAGTGCTGTATCTTGGCCTTGTGTGACTTTTTCCCAAAAATGGTTCCACCGTATTGGAAAATGAAAGCATGAATGGTTGATTCCACTGTCATACAATAATTATGCTGGTGGTTAGTTGGCCACATGTGACCTGTTTATCTTCTAACCAGTGGCTGAACCTGCAAGACTGTATCCACCTAGACATTAAAGGAAATCCTGATAATCTACTAAATGTTTCAAGATTTTAACAGTGAGATGAAAAGATTATGGTACTTGTAGGGATTACCTACAAGTGTGAAATTCTGTGAAATAAGAATGAACAAATTACAAACATTATAAGAAAAAATGTTGTTCCCAGAAATACCCACTTGTGAATTTTGCCACCATACCACTTCTTTCTTGCAGCTAGTAGGTGTTTTTATGATGTTTCTTTAAATTTGCTGCCGCATGGCGAGGCAACTGTAAATACTGGCAAACATTCAAGGACACTGGAACCATGAAGCTTTCAGTATTCTCCTGTAATAATACTGTTCATTTGATTTTTTTAAACTTATGTAGGTCTTCATTTGTTCTAAAAGTCCCCAAGGAACTCTGTTTTTTTCTTGTTCTTTTTTATTTATCTTATTTTTTTAGCTTTCTTAAGGTCATGGGACCGTGACATGATTGGCTTGATTAAGTGATTTTGCTATTTGCCTTTAGGAGGAGTGATCTCAGACTTTAAGATGTATATGATAGGTGTTCTACAACCTGCTATGTGAAGAGAGCGAGCTCTTAGAAAGCACTAAGTTGCTCTGCATGTACAGTAAAACACTGATTTCTGTATATTTGCAGAGTTTTGCATGAATAAGAGAGTCCTCGGTCTTCTGGCACAAAGTTTGGCTGATCAGACTTTGCCACAGCTTTCTATTGGGTTTCTGTTCTATGTAACCTCTTATCAGCTCTATTGTGTGTGAAGGGGGAAGCAGATGCTGGAATACCCCACCTTTTCCCTCCCTTGCAGGGATAAATGAATAAATAACCAGCAATGACTGTATTAGCATAGTTGCAGACATTCAGCAGGAGGTCACCTGTCTTTGTTTTTCGCTTATCCTTTTATTTCGCTTTGCCTCAAGCAGAACCCCCCATTGGCTGCAATTTGCATAGTATGGAATCTTTGTGCTATTGTGTGTGTGTGTGATTATGTGGGGGTTGGGAACTGAAAATTGCAAATGCCTATGCTTTTGTCTGCATTTCAAGATTCTCTATGCAGTTGTGTGTGTATGTGTGTGTATGTGGGTGTGTAGATGTGTGTTCGCAGATGCATGTCTACATCAAGGCGGGGGTGATGTTGAGTGTCAGGTAGTCACGTACGCAGATCAGTAGTTTGGCATTTGGGAACAGGGCCCTCCCAGCGAGCAGCATTGCCCTGCCTGGCCCCTCCTGAGCTAATGAAGTCATCTCTGGCATTTTCATGCACGCAGGGAAAAAAAACCCACGCTGACTCACTGTGAAGTTGCACTAATGAGGGTTATGTCAGAATTCAACCTGAACTCATTTTCCCTCGCAGTAGAGAGTTGATTTAAAATGGGAAGCGTAAAACGCATCTTGAATAGTTATCAATTACAGCCAGTATTGTGTCTTTAAAAATAGCTCGGACAAATGATATCTCAAAATAAATTCAAAATTCTAGATTTCGTTTCTTTTGCTTGTGACGTTGAGGCAGATCTGTGATCAGATGCTAACTCGTGCATGCATGTCGTTTTCCCTTGTGTATGTGGGGCAGCTTTGAAACCGCTCAGTTTATCTGAAATCACGGGTGAAGCTGGTTATTCAGGCGATAATGACTCAGCCTCATTTGCTTCTTGAGCTTGGAGGCGGAGCGCAGCAGATACGTTTGTAGTGTTTGGCGCAGGTCATGAGCTAGGGGTGATGAAGGAAGATGATGGAGAGAAAGCAAGTAAGGGAGAGGAGTCCATGCAGTAGTCAGCAGGTGGTGCAAGATGCAGCTGGGTCCTCAGGGA